AAAAGGTTTAAAGTGGCCCCCCCCCCCCCCCCCACCCAAAGCAGAGTAATTCGTATGTCACAGTAACTAGGTTGGTTTATTTTAAACCTAAAGCAAAGATGAGCAGTTCTACTGAATTTGGTCTTTAATGAGTATAGTGTGTATTATATTGCATGTTGTAATGCTATAGGATTTAAATATGTTTAAGCCGGAGAGTAACTGATTTCTTTACATCTTCACCAGGACGCAACGAACCATTAAAGAAAGAGCGACCAAGGTGGAAGAGTGATTACCCAATGACGGATGGCCAGCTCCGTAGCAAAAGGGATGAGTTCTGGGACACCGCACCAGCATTCGAGGGGCGCAAGGAGATCTGGGATGCACTGAAAGCGGCAGCCTATGCAGTGGAAGCTAATGACCATGAGCTGGCACAGGCTATTGTGGATGGAGCCAGTATTACAATACCTCATGGTATGTGCAGTGAAATCATATTAATAAGAGTGTAATGTAATTAAAGTAGCCATAATAGTAATAGATGTAATAATTAGGGATGCACCAATGCTGATACTGAGTATTTGGGCGACTACTCGTACTTGCCCAAATGCTTCCGATGCCTATCCCGATACTGGAACTGCTAGTCATTACATGCTGCCCGGCTTCCTGATTGGCCAGGAAGCAGGCTCTGTGCTCCCTCGTCACCAGGGAGCATGGAGCTGGCTTCCCAGCCAATCAGGAAGCCGGAGGGTGGGTAATGACTTGCCCTGTCCCCCATTTCCTGATTGGCAGGGAAGCTGGCTCCGTGCTCCCTCGTCAGCAGGGAGAATGGAGCCGGCCAATCAGGAAGCCAGGCGGCATATAAGGGCTCGCCGCCTAGCTTCCTGATTGACCAGCTTCCCGGCCAATCAGGAAGCCGGGCAATGAGTCATTAGCCAATAGTGTTTGTCTAGTGGCATTGCAAAACAAAATGACAGTCCTAGTGCTGAAGTGTCACCAGTGACATTCACCATATGATTTGGTATGACACTTTACAGCCTTCAGCTACTCCACCCTGCTCTGTGTTTAGTCATTTGAATGCTTTTCTTTTCCTGACGTGTACAGAATCCATCTGTACATCTGCGGCGGCCAACAAACAGTGGCGCTACCATATTTTCATTTTTTAGTACTCTGTGCCTCTAGGTAATAAGTAGAACTCTAGAAAAAAAAAAGGCATAAGAAATTTATTGCTGGCTGAGTCTACATTGGATAGATTCACACTTATGGCACCAGGACACAAAGTGAGGGGAAATGTTGACAGCCTTCACCAGAACAGGAGGTGACCGAAAATCTCCCAGAGGGAAAACCTGTCCTGGTGACAACTTAAAGGCGGGTTTCCTATATGAACAATCTGTCCATTTACAAAGATAAAATTAACATATGTTTTGGGCTAAGGAGTGCCCTTAGACTGCTCGGCCAGGCTGAGTTGGTGTATGTTGTCGAAGGTCTCCATACCAACACAGATCTTTTTTTTTTAAATTGCAAAATGCAGTAGCCCAGAGTAACCAATCAGCATCCTGGGAGTAAGACTGAGTCACTCCTCTGATTTATTAATTTCTGTTTGTTTTTTGAAATTAAGCTATTGAACTCTGCAAATATCCTTTTCCCACAGAGAATTTGGGAAAAGCCTGCCAAAGTTAAACTAACGTAGAGCTCCACCTGGTGGATACAAATGATAGTGACCCTAAACTAAGGAGTTAAATCTTAAAAATGCATTCAATTACCCTAACTATTAACAAAGATTTAGATCCTCAAATCATCTCTGAATTGGTGCGGACACTGTCCTTCCTTCTGGAGGGGGGCTGCTTTTGTTCCGCATGGTCCCTGTGTGTGTTGTAAAGTAGCCACCGCTCCAAGCTCACTCCTGTGATGGACTACAATCTCAGAACAAATTAGTAAGCTAAATATGAGATTGCAGTCCATCTCGGGAGTGAGTTTGGAGCGGTGACTACTGTACAACACACACAGGGACCATGGGGAACAAAGGTAGCCCCCCTCCAGAAGCAAGGACAGTGTCACCATTAATTCAGAGATGATTTGAGGATCTACAGCCGAGTGATACACAAATAAGATGCAATTTAGTTATTAAGGTACTTGAATGTATTTTTAAAATGTAACTCCTGAGTTTAGTATCTCTTTAATAGTGTCGCCTGAACTTAAAATATAGCTGCAGCCATTTATGTTTTACATCCCTGTTGGAGTGATTTTCGGTTACTTCCCGACATGTTACTGACACTGGAAGTGAGGGGAAATATCCCCACTGTAGATGGAGATGGCATTAAAAGCCTACTGGGTTCAGAAAAGTCCCTAAAGGGTATCTATGGTCAAAAATGTGTATTTCTATATTGAATTTCCATAAGTTATATCCAATTCCTAACAACCATATCCGTCTAGAAGTTTGATGCCCAAAGGACAGGGGTGGGGTAACTAGTCCTCCAGCTGTTGTGGAATTGCAAGACTGACAGCCACAGGCATGACTCGCATAGACATGAGATTTGTAGTTACATCAGAGCCGGAGGCCTGGAGTTGACCACCGCTTCGATAGGATGTACTTCCTCAATGCAGTGACACAATTTCACTCAGCCCTGTGAATATGCACCTGCTTGTGTCGGCTCTCTCAGAACCTGCCTTCTGAACCACTCAACATCTGAACATTGTAGCATTATCATTGCTTGGTGGTAGCAATGCATAATGGGTTATGTAGTCGTGAGGAATCAAGGGGGCAGCACAGTGGCATAGTGATTGGCGTTTCTGCCTTGCAGCACTGGGTGTCCCTGGTTCGAATCCCGGCCAGAACACTATCTGCAAGGAGTTTGCATGTTCTCGCTGTGCATGCGTGGGTTTCCTCCGGGTATCTGGTTTCCTCCCACACTCCAAAGAAGGTTAATTGGCTCCTGTCTAAATTGGCCCTTGTATGCATGTGAGATAGGGACCTTAGATTGTAAGCTCCTTTTGGGCAGGGACCGTTATGAATGTGCAACTATGTAAAGCGCTGCGTAAAATTGTCGGCGCTATATAAATACCTGTTGTAATTAATCAAGCAGCAGGGAAAGATATGCAAACCACACTGGCGCTTTAGGAAGGTTTTGAAAGTGACGAGCAGACGGAAGGAAGCACTCACTACATAAAAGGGATTTTGTTCAAGTAAGCTTTGATTGCATTATCAGAAACCACTCTAGTAATACACTGCTGATGTTATAACATTCCTAATACAATGCTGATGTTATAGCAGGAGAGGATATGCTGGCACTTTACAACTCCTTTTTAAAAGCGTGTAATTCAAGTTAAAAGTTAAGCATATGTGTGAGACTAAATCTAACATTGTGTTTTGGTTTCAGGCTCTCTAACGGAATGCTATGATGAACTTGGAACCCGGTACCAGCTCCCAGTTTACTGCCTGGCTCCACCGGTTAACCTGATCATGGAAAGGGGTGAAGACGACGGAACCGACGCTCCAGATCCGGCCCCCAATAACAGGCGGGAGTTCCAGCTGAAAGTCCGCCTTTCCACGGGAAAGGACGTTAAACTCAGTGCCAGCATGTCGGACACTATTGGCCAAATGAAGAAGCAGCTACATACCGTGGAGGGCATTGAGCCCTGTTGGCAAAGATGGTTCTTCTCTGGGAAACTTCTCACAGATAGGGTAAAACTCCAGGAGACTAAGATTCAGAAAGACTTTGTCATTCAAGTTATTGTCAACCAGCCGGCAGATACCCAAAACTGACCACGTTTAAAACCGAAAAACTAAAATTGACCAAGAATTTTTCATGACACACTGGAATGTTTAGACAAGTAAAGGCTGGCTGCTAAGTCCTTCTTTCCTTACTTGTCTCTTTTCAATGACTGCCATCTTGAAGTAACACATGGGTTTGGATTGGAGTGATGACCTCAGAGATCCTGAAATGCTGCACTATATATATATTTTTTTTTTTATTGTCTCGGTTGCACACGATATTCACCCCATACAAAATGACATTTTATGCATGCGAATGATAAGTGGCCTGGACCCTAAACTAGCATAGGACCATGAGGCTGGGTACTTTGATTTATTTGGGTTCACTATGACAGCAGTGGTCCTTGTGTGTAAGAAATTGCAGTGGTGTTCACAGCATTCGGTTCAATAAAAGTGTATCTAAACCCCAAAACCATCAAATGTAACATGTAGCTTGCCCATGCTTGGATGTGGTGGTCATTTGTTTCACTTTTTAGGCTAAGAACATTCAGCAAGAACAGAAAATACCTGTTGATCTTGTCTGGTCCTGTTCCTGGTCACTTCCTGTGAGCTTAAAAGAATACATAATACATACAAGGTTTTTTTGTGCTACGGGTTCCATCGATCCACCATGTCATAGAGATAAACAAAGGAAAATTCCAGCCTGTGTGACAACCATTGCTGCCCCTAAACACTGGAGAAATAAGTGTAGACCTGAGGGGACAAGAAGTTTTTTCGAAGGGTTATCGGGGAAAAAAGCCTGAAAAAAGAAACTTAATGCAGCTACCACATCTAAAGATCAGAAAGCTACGATGTTACATTCTTGGTTTTTGGGCTTCAATACACTTTAAGCTGTCATATTTATTAGGGATGCACAGTTACTGATCCTAGTATCAGTGCCGATAACAAGTATCCGATACTTACCTCCAATACTTCCGGTCATGGGGAGATCTCCCTCTGACCGGCAGTGCCAAAGGAGATCAGGAACCCAGACGGCACCTTATGACCTGCTGCCCGGCTTCCCTGATTGGTCAGGAAGTCAGGCAGCCTCCGGAAGTGAAGCTTATGTTCTTTTGATAGAACACCGGCATCCTAGGAAATCGGGAATTCGGGCGTCGGGTCATTATCCGCCACCCAGCTTACTGATAATCTGGGCACACAGCACCAATATTGGTACTCGGTATGGGCGCGTACCGAAAAAAGTAAAATTCAGTACTTGTACTCTACCGTAAAACCAGTATTGCTGCATCCCTAATTTTTATGCTGCACTTTGGAAAACTGAAGCAAGCGTTTGATTGCTGATTAGATGTGGAATTGGTATAGTCCTGGATCAGTCATGGGCAACCCACAACCTGCTAATCGGGAATTAACCATACATTGATTTGTAGATCCTCTGTGGTTTGAGGACTGTAGCGTTCTAAGGATTTGTATGTCATTCTTCCAACACAAATGTATAATAAGGACGTCCAAAAACACCGATTCCATCTACAAGATTGTTTAAAGATTTTAGTTTTCATAAAAAAATATTTTAAAGACACCCATTATTTTTTTTCCATTTAATACATGTAGCTGCTCCCGCTGGTTACATAAGTGTGGAGGGTTCCGCATCTCGTGCCAGGAGCACCTTCTTTTTTTTTTTTGTATCATAATGTGTACTAAATTCCAGGCGCACCATGTTTTGGGTTCAATTGAATTATCTTTGGTTCCATCAAGTAGTGAAAGTGTTGATTTGTGGAGGACCTCTGTGCTGCCAAACAGATTGGTATGAATCAGCCTACTGCTGTTTACATTGGACAGTCACTTTTAAAAGGAAATGTTCCCTGAGAAGGGCTAGTCTGTAAGAGCTAGTTGCTTTGCTGTCATCTTGACCCTCTGGCTTAAATACTTCGTCACTAACCACATTAAAGAAGAATTGGAAATTTAAAAAGACGTAACCCTTGCTGTGCATGTGGTAGCCCCACTGCGAGGGTAAGTGCTCATTTTTGTCTAGGGGGCTCAAAAAGCAGATATACTCACCTGATCCTCACCTCCCCTCTGCTTCAGCTGTGGGCGGTGCCTCTGTATCCTCGCGTCTAATGTAAGTCAAAGGACCTGCATTAGACATAACGATGTCCTTAGCCCACCAGAGCCCAGGGGAGAAGAGGCTGTGCAGACTGGACTAGCGCCCGGTGGAAGTGAGGATCTGGTGAGAATATGTGGTTTTATTTGAGCACTCTAGACAAAATGAGCACTTAACCCTTGTATGTGAGGGTAGCCCCACTGCAAGGGTAAAAATTATTTTTTAATTCCAGGAGTTCTTCAAATTCTGACTTCCTTCTGGCCTGCATGCTTGTTCAGCATTGGTTGCTCAAAGTATTGAATCCAGAGGATCCACCTAACAACCAGGCAGCTAGCATTTTCTGAGGTTAGCAATGGCTACACACCTCTTCAGGAAGGTTTCTGATCTCTGTAGCATTTTGAATCACTTCAGTGATTTTCTATCAATACGCAAGTTATCCCTGAGTTAATTTTTCTTTTCTTTTTAATGAACATGTTCACTATTGTGCCTCCATTAAAGTAAGAAACTGATTGCTGATCTATGAAAACAAAGTGTTGATGTTCAACTAATGCAAATTTCACAGCGTTTTGTGACTATTCTATAGAGAATGTGTGTTAGCAGATTTCTTTTCAGGGGAAATGTCCGCAAAAGTTGGCTCAAGTGCAGATGTTCCATCAGTTTTCAATTTGTGGTGTTTGTCATTTATAGTATCTAGAAAGCAGTATGTCAGGTCTTGGATAAGTTACATTGATTAGGTAACACATCGCTTAAAAGCAGAGAGGTGACGTTCTTTGGGAAGCAGCAAATACTAAAGAGATTTTTTTTTTTTTTTGAAGCTCAGGGTTGATGCATAGAGATTTATGCTACAGAGCCAAGGGGTGCTCTGCTCGGGAGGAAATCTAACCTGCAGTTCAATCAGACGGTGAACTAAAGACTAAGAGGGTTAGGGGATCCACACTAGAAAGCCAAAATAAAAGGCTCTTCTGTGATATTCTGTTCCACTGAGAACATGAGACATTTGATTCTACACAATAGGACAAGGAACAATTGACAGCTGTAGATGGTATTTATTACTTACCTTTGCGTGCGTAGGAAAATATGAAATATTCTGCATGGACAATAGGGGTAATGTTTGCATCTTGTCACGTGCAAACTGTAGACACATGTACGCTACATCTATGAAAATATCCTTCAAGAGAGACTTTGACCTGGTGGTGTCACTGCAAGCCAAGCCTGTGCTGCAGGTGCATGCCTTGTTTCAAGAAGTAGTTCCCTAACTTGTAAGCCCTTCAGTAAGGGCTTTCCGCAAACACAGGAGGAATGCGGTCTATGCATGTCCATAGTGTCAAGCAAAAGTTGTGCATTTTCAGTGGACCACCGTGTAAACCTTAGGAGCCAGTAAACCTAAGCAGCATTAGTATTTTATTCATTGATATGGCTCCTATTTTTTTTTTTTTTAGATACTTAGCAGAGTAAAAAGACAATTTACATCATTGACCCTGACAAAGGACTAGGAAAACCTATTTGGATTAAATGTATTTACTTTGTTTCCTAAAGTAGCTGCTGATCTCTGTTCCTGTAAGAAAGAATGTAATTTGTGTGATCCATGTCTATTAGTATCCAGTAATACATCAACCTTCAAACCAAAGCAATAAGAAGTTTCATGTTGGACATTAGAAACCCAATCCATATGGCTGCTTCAAAAAAAAAAAAAAAAAAAATGCTAATGTTGTTTTAAGGTCTTAGCCTGTCCATTCACTTGGAGGTTAACCGTGTTTTCCTTAATGAACCAAAATGTCACCCCTGTTGAAGCCTCACCCTCTCTCCTCAAACATATTAAGACTACATCTAATTTTCACCTATAGCAAATCCTATTGAAGGCTGGCCACTGATTTATAATGGAAAGGTGTAGAGGGGCTAAAAAGTTGGTGCCAGAACTATAAAGTTCTTTTTAAAGCATGACGGTCATATTTGTTTGGATTGTGGGAACAATACATACACACCAATCTTAACCCAACTATGCCATAATTGCAGTTATCAAATGATCATCTAGCTTCTATAAGCACCAGAATAAAATATCCACAAAAGCTTTAGTTAGATGCAAGACACCAAAAGGTACAAAATCTACTGTAGCACCCAACTAGTGTCACCAAATGTTCCTATGAATTTTGTGGAAGTCTGAATTTGTATTGGCATTTGGGCATGTTGATAGCCTACTATGGCACCAAACACTGCAATGTGGGATGAGGGAGGGATAAACCTATTTTCTGTGTACTCGGAAGTTTTAGAATTTTGGTTTCGGTGGTGAAAGCTTAGAAATGCCTACTAGTATCATTGCGATACGCCAGCGCCTGTCAAGTGGCCAGTGCTGAGGCACTGGTCATGGAAACTCAGCTGGAGGGACGTAAGGGATTGCCAGCTAGACAAAACCAGTCAGCTGTTCTGCCTGAACACTCAATGGAGATCCTAATAAGGCCCTGTTCACACCGGCCGCACGGATGCGCTGCCATGAACGATCCCATACGTTGCTATGTTCATGCAAATGAGAGGCTCAGCGTGATCCGAACTGCCTTCCGCCCTGACCCTTTTTTTTTGCCGCGCTGATCACATGGAACCACACTGATCAGCATGGTTTGGGCCGTTTTTATTTGCCTTTCAGCGCTGGAACACAATTAAAAACTCCCAAAACCTCCCTTTTGAGATCCACGTGGAAACCGCGCTGATCCGCAGCCGCCCTGGTGTGAATGGGCTCTCAAAGAGAAGACTTGCAAGAATTCCAGGAGAATGAGAAGTACTTCCAAACTATCTATCCATATTGTTATATACTTGGCTGCAGGGGATCTATGTAAAAGAAGGTTCAGGTGGGATGTAGTTCTAGTTAAACCTTTGAGTCCAATGCAACCTGAAAGCAAAAGCATTGGATGCGGCTTGTATATTTATACTACTGAGCAAATATAGCAATATTCTGCGGCTACATGATGAGCAAAACTTACTAGGTTACTAGTACGGAGTCAGATTTTGGTTCATTTCAATGCTGTCCTTGGTTCCCAG